AGAGCAAGGCCAAATAGAATAAGAACAAGATAAAATGAAAGGGAAAAAAAATCCACACAGAAGCCCTCCCAAGCCCTGAAAGGAATGAAAATAAATTGAAGATTCCCTCAGCAGTCCAACTTGGGGAGCAGGGGAAATTGGGGGGGGGAGAACAGGGAGGTAAATAGGGAAGAAGGGACGAAAGGAGAACATGGAGGGGAGGGAGATTCCTAACAGATTTTCTCAAACTTCCTTTATAGATGACAACACTTCCCAGTTTCCCATTCATCCTTCCAGGTGCCAGAGGGTGTGGAGGGGATTTTTTTAAGCTGAAGGTGGGGACAGTAATAGTAATAGGGATTTTAAAATTTCAGATAAGGGTAAAGGGAAGAAAAAAAAAAGGATTATCTATGCCCCTAGACGAAACACCTTAGGGCTTCTAGATCCAGGTGGGGAAAATAAGAATAAGTTATCCAGACACTGCTTTGGATGAATAAAAATCACGCTGACGGCCCAGTATCAGAATTGTGTCCAAGGGGCACAGAGCAAAGCAGCCTGGAACTAGGAATGAACCCCAGTTCTAAGCTGTAGTACCTCTTCTGAGCTACAGTACACGAGGAGGAAAGGTGGTGGTTTCTTTGATGGGGGAGTGGGCTTTGTTGCCATGGTAACAAGAAGAGGTATCTTTCCCTTCTGGAAGGAAATGCTAGTCCATTTATCATCAAACTGGGGCACAAAAGGGGAGATGGGGGAGCAGGAGAGCTGAAGAATGTATTTTTAAATATCTAGACTCAATGCAGTCAATAGTCTTATAGCCCATTCTCTATACCGGTTAATGGTGGGCAGTAACAGAATCCCGAATTTGATAGGATTCCTAATTACTTCTTTTCAATTAGCTTTAATTATGGATAGATGTTTTCAAAGGACCTCTGTCCCAGAGAAGCTGAGACAATGTGCCCCCCCTTTACACCAGACTGGAAAATAGGAATCCACAAAATCTAGGAGTCTCTATTCTCCTCTCCCAAAGTATTTTTTCCTTCATTTACACCCAAGAATGAGAAGAGATAAAACACATGGATTCATTTAGCATGGACGACAAGGAAAATTGCATAACGACAGCTAAGTGTGTGGGTGGGGGGAGATGGTCTGGTAGAGTAGGAAGAAAACAGGATTACAACATTTTCAGATCCATCTCTATATGGTGTCATGAGGCCAATCTACTAGACAGAATCACCAAAAGTGCAGAAGACTAATATACATGAGTCCACAAAATTCCAGAATGCTAAGAGTAAACTAAAATACACACACACACACACACACACACACACACACAAAAAGCAAAGTAAGAAGATAGCAAAACCTCATTTCTTCCCCCACCAAATGACCCAGCGTGTCTACCTCCAAGAAGGAAAGGTCAGAGTCCCTTAAGGGTATACAAAATACTGGGTATTTTGGGTCAAGTGCTTTTTCAGCCACAATTCAATAGCATTCTTTATTCATTCATGACAAAATTTTTCACTGAATGCCTATGTGTGCTAATAGCTACAAGGTATAATATGAAAAGGGACAGCACACAATTCCTACTCTCAAGAAGCCCAAAATCTGACTATGGAGACAAAACCAAAAAATACATGAGCCAGTATAAACAATATAAAACCAAGTGCTTTATTGGTGCAGGCACTTCAGTGGAATTTCAAAGAAAGAGATAATTGGGAGCTAGAGATAGCCAGGGAAAGAGGGAAAATTGCAACGCATTCTTGAAAGATGGGTAGGTGGCATTTGGTGGAGGTAGGGGCAACATTCTGTTAGGGGAGAATTCTCCCCTAAAGTGCTAGAGGAAGGACTGCCCAGAGAGTATTATCCACTTGGCTGAGTTATAATAATTATACGGATAACAGCTAACATTTTATACAGAACTTACTATGGCATTATCTCATTTGATCCTCACAATAACTCTGGGAAGGTAGATGCTATTATCATCATCCCCATTTTACACATGAGGAAACTGAGGCAAAAAGAGGTTAAGTGACTCGCTTAGGATCACACCGCTAGTAGACTCTAAGGTCGAATTTGAACTCAGATCTTCCTGATGCCAGACCTAGTACTGGGAGTACTGCGCCACCTAGCAGAAGGAAGTAGCAAAGAGAAAAGGTTGGAAAGTCCTAGAATTTAGAGCTGAAAAAGACCTCAGATGTCATCTAGTCCAACCCCTTCTTTACAGATGAAAAACTGAGGTGCAGGCAGGTTACTGATCTGATCTGCTGAATGTCACATAAGAATTAAGCATCAGAATTGGGATGTGAACCCTGCACCGCTGACTCTAAAGCTTTCCTTTCTATTTCCCATATGGGGCTGGATTGATGGGGCCTTGAATGGCAGGCTGAGGAATTTGGGTTATATTCTGTAGGCAAGTGAAAGCTATTATAAGGTTTTGGGGCAAGGAAATGACTGATCAAAGTGATATTTTAGGACAATTCTTCTGTGTTGTGTAGGGTTCTGGGGAGCAGGCTGGAATAATGAGAGCAGAGAGAACAGTAAGATCCTATTGAAAAATCCAGTTACGAGGTGATGAGGACCTGAACAACAGTGGCACTCTGGAATGAAAAGGCAGGAACAGACTGGATACATCTTATAAAGTGAGAATCAACAGACCACACATGGAACATTTCACTGGTCAAACTCTCCTAGAGCTAAGCTCCTCTACAACATTGGCTGCATCTGATTTTGGTGGCTTCCCTGAAAGACAACCTACCAGGGAAGGAACAAGGCCATCCTATAGCTCCATTCTGAATTCCAGTTATTAGAAGAGATTATCTCATGCACAGCTACCAAAACAGATGAGTGCCTTGGAATCCCAGCCCCTGGAGCCCCATGAGGGCATGAGGATCTGAATTCTCCCACCATGCTGGTGTGTTTATGCATTGAAACCGTCTCAGTTTAAGCTGCATTCTCCAGTCCACTAAATCTCTCTCAACTGGGGCACTCAGAACTGCTCATGTTCTGGCCCAGAGGCTCCACCCTCAAGGGGAGATGGTAGTGCAGCCCACACTGCACCACTGGGAAGACTGACAGTCTGAGAGCATCAGCAGCTTCCCATGAGCTGGGATTAGATCCAACCAACAGCTGGTAGTAGCTCTTACTCAACACTGCCTGAGGTGGGATTTGAACTCAAGTTTTCAAACCATACCCTATACAACGCCTAAGCCTCTCATTCTCAGTGTTTCCATCTCTTCTATTAAGAGAAATGGCAGCTAAAGGGGAAAAAGGATTTCTGGGAGTGTTTACATGACCAGGAAGATAGCTACCGGATTAAAGCCCAACACTGATGTTGGAGGAGGTGTCTACAATTTAAAAGAACAGAGGGCAATGGCTGCCACCCCACCCCCACTGTCCACAGAGTCCTCTTGTGGTAGTGATGCACTCTTCTCTGCAGGACACTATGTCCCTCTAGGGCAAGGTTTAGTCTGATAGGGACCCCTTCTTCCGTTTTAATGGAAGTTTTATGATAGGGGCAGGAAAAGTCTCCCAAGGGGGCATCTCGAGGGTAACGACGTTTTTTTTTTCTTTTATCATCAAAATCTGGCCCTGGGCTTTATTAGTGACCTCTTAAGTCAAAATGAGAGCATTTTTTCACTAACTAGAAAAGCATTTTTCGTTAAAGGAAGACACTGGTGTGGGGCGCTGGAGCTCATTTTGTAAATCCTAATAGAGATTGGGGTTGTGGTGGAGAGGGTATCAGAAATCTGCTCCTGATCCAATTTCTTCCCCTCAAATTTAGGGCCCTAACGAGAGAAAGTAAATCAGGAGGCTAGCGCTGATTTACAAGTATTTTACCTGAACCTGAAGTCCTGTTTCCCAATCACCCCACCATACATGTCATTCTCTCCCAGTACCCTTTCTCTGGAGCTGCTCCCCATAGGGCCACATCCTGCTGCTACTGAAAGGCGACCTTCCTCGCTAGGGCTCATGCTAGCTGCCACCCCCCGGGAGAGAAAGGACCTTCAAAAAAATGGGGCAGGGCCCCCTCCCCGATGCCTTCCCCCCTCCCTTCCGCCCCCCTCCGGGGCTCTGGGATCGCCTCCCTCGCCAATCGGGCCGAGGGGCCTGCCTGCCTGGAGAAGCGCAGACGTCCTGCTGCTACCCCGCCCCCGCTCCCCTTGGCCCCCGCCGGGCCTGACCCCAGCCGCCAGAGCCCTTCCTGGGAAAAAGCCCGACAATCCAGAGAGCCGTGGCAACAGTACTGCGGCTCCTCCTGCAGCCGGATCCCTGGAGCCCGGGGCCCGCTTTTCTGGCCCCGCAGTCCCCAGGGTCTGTCGAGCTGTCGGGCCATCCGGAGGGTGGGGGTGGGCGCCCCGGACCCTTGCGCCCCTACCCGACGCCACCACCTGCGCCCCGCTCCCTCGCGTGCGCCGCCTTTGTCCAGCGCTTCTCGGCCGCGCTGGCCCCTCCAGCCGAGCTGACCCAGCCCCCCAGGCCGCAGGCGAGAGAAGGCGGCGGGGCGGAAAGGGCAGGGCCGGGCCAGGCTCCGAAGCCCGGGCCCGCTGTCACTTCGACGAGGCTCCGACAACTTCAATTCCATCTACCTCCCCCCAAGCACCGCGGCGCCTCGGACCCGGAGCCGAAGCCCCGCTCGCCTTCCCCTCTTTCGCCCCGGCTCGGCTCTCCTCGAACCTGGTCCCGTTGCGTGCCCAGCCCCGAGCCTCCCTGGCTGCACACCGCGGTCCACGCCTCCCCTCGGCTCAGCCCGGTCCTGGTCCCCGCCCCGCCTCCCTCCCCAGCCTGACTCTAGAACCGGCTCCGCTCCCCATCGCGGGCCCTCCAGGGGCAGGCGCTTCCCGCAGCGGCGGGGCCGCCCCGGGCCTCGGCCACCAGCTCGGGGGGCTGGCGAGGGGGGCGCGGCGGCCCTGGGAGGGGAGTGGGGACACTCACCCGCGCCCAAGTAGCCAGCCCTGGGCTCCCGAGACGCAGCGGCCAATGCCCCTACCTCGGCCGCGGCCCTAGGACGCCCGCCCGCGGTCGGGATGCACTCCGCCGGCCCCTCGCCCCACCCCCCCCACCCCCCGCCTCCCGACGCGGGCAGCGGCGGCGGCCCCCGGGGGCTGTCACCTCGAGGCGCGTTGCGCTCCCGATGGCGGGGACCCACCCGGGCGCCAGGACTCCCGGGAGAGAGACGGCCCGCGCGGGCGGTCAGCACCTGCTCTGCGTCTGTCCGTCTGTCCTCATCCCCGAGTGGGGGCGGCGGCTAGTTCGGCGGGGCGAGCGAGCGATCGAGAGAGAGAGCAGGCGGACGGTCCCTCTCTTTCGCCTCCCTCTCTCCCTCCCTCCTCTCGGCCCCCAGCCCCCTGGCTCACCCGACTAGTGGCGCGGACAACGGGGCCCAGGACGCCCGCAGGCCCCGGCCGGGCTGGAATCCGGCGGCTGGAACCCCCCGGGGGCGCTCAATTCCCGGGCTCCACGCTGCTGCGTCAGCGCCTCCTCCTGGGGGCCGGGGCCGGGCGGGCGGGCGGAGCGGGGGCCGCGACCGGGCGGGGCCGTCGGAGGAGCGGGCGGGCCCGGTCCGGGCGGGAGGGCTGCTGGGGCCGTGCAGGCGGGGCGGGCGTCCAGACAGGCGGGCGGCGGGGCCGGGCTCCGGGATCCGCTACGCCGCTCGCGGTTCCCCCACAAACTCCCCGAGAGCGGAGCCTCCGCCGCCCTCCTTCCTGCTTCCTCGTCCGCAGCCAATCGGATTATGGCCCTCCGCCACCTCCACCAATTAGCAACAAGCCCTGGGCTGGCCCCCGCCAGCCAATCCCGGCCCTCTGTTCCCCCTCCCCGCCCCGGACCAATCAGAGCCGCCCCCACCGGCCGGCCTGTCCCAACGCAGGGGGCAGCACGAGGCTGCCGGGGGAGGAGGTGCGGGGAGTGGCGGGGAGGGGGTCGTATCCAAGGGGTGGATTTCCTCCGCCAGCCCCTTGTACCTCTCTCTTTCCCGGAGCGCCCCCCAACCTGGGCCCTCACCTCCAATGGTCCAACCCCCCCAGTCTGCCGACCCCCAAGACCCTCTCCCCAGAAGCTCGCCCCAGCTACCCCCCCCGGGAAAGTCTTACGTAGCGCCCCCCCATGCTAGCATTCCCCTTCCCGTCCCCCACCCCCCACCCCCTCCATCTCCCGCCCTCCCGCCCAGCCACCCATCCAGGGAAACTGCAGGAGGCACGGACACACCCCACCCTCGCAGGCTCCTGCTGCCCGAGGTTAAGCTAGGGGGAACCCAGCAAGAAAAGAAACAAGCTTGGACGCCCCCTGCATTAGAGACCCCAGACCCCAGTGAGAGGAGCCTCCTTTGCAGGGAGCCCAGTCTCTGCCTCACCCTTCCATCGTCCCCTAGCACAAGTCTCCTTTCCCTTGCAGTGAGGTCAGCCCCTGGCCACGCCGCTCCCCCCTCCCCTTCTAAGCTCATTTCCCCCCCCTCCAATCTTCTCCTCTTGACCCCTCCCCTACCGGCCCCCTCCCTTCCAGATCCTAATTCTCCCTCTTCCGATGCCTTTTTTTTTTTTTTGCTTAGCTTTCACCTATTTCCATCTCGCGGCAAAGGCAAATGTGCGTTCCCCTACACCGCCACCCTTCCCACCCCCCACCCGCCATCAGCCCACTACGGGAGTCGTCAGGAGAGCTCCCGGAGCAAAGGGTGGGCAGTGTGACAGTCTCAGCGGGGCTACCTCAGAGTCCTCGAGCCGAGATGCAGTTATTTTGGCAGGTGGGAGTCAGAGCTGTGTAGACACATTCCTAGCTCCCCTCCCCCCCTCACACACACAGACACGTCCCCAGGAGCCTGAGCATGACTAGTCAACCCGGTGGGCACAGGAGGCAGAGCTCAGACTATGCATGGCCGAGGTCTCTAACCTCCAACATCCGCTCTTACCCAGATCGGGTGGGGAGTCCAGACGCCGAGGCGGAGGGGAGAGGCGAAGAACAATCTAGATCCACTGACAGTCTGAAGACCTGGGTCTGGGAGCAATATGCTCTGGGCCCCAGGCATGGGAGGGAGCAACACCCAAAGAGAACTCGGTCAGAAGAAACCAAGCCTCCTAGTAACCTAAGCAACCCTCCCGAGAGCTGCGGTATCATAAGCGCATAGATTTTGAACTGGAAGGAATCTTAAAGACCCAACCCCCTCATTTTTCAGGTGAGGAAACTGAGGCCCAGAAAAGTCATACTAGTTAGGATTTGGAAATAGGTGTTTTGAGCCCATATCCAAGTGCTTTTTTTGGCGCTGAAAAGGCCCTTAGAGGTCATCTAGCTGAACCCCCTCATTTTTACAATTGAGGAAATTGAAGTGAAGAAAGTGATTTGTGCAAGGTCACATAGGCAATGAAAGTGGGGATTGGAACCCAGGTCCTCTGACTACAAATTCTGTGCACTTTCTTCTAGTTCTCCCCCTCTCCCTACCTTATACTGCCTTTCTTGACACCCAAAGGTAGCTCCAAAAAGATCAGAGCAGTCACCTCTTCCCAGCCTCCCCCCCCAAAATGCTTACCCAACCCATCTTCTTCCGGAGCCTAGACTGGGGTCCTTGCCATCCCTAGCCCAACAGGTTTAAGAAGGGGTTGGTTCAGTAGGGGAAGTGTATGGTTGGAGAGATAAGAATGTGGCATTAGAGATCTCTGAGAGGGTACAGAGTTATTCTTAATCCCTTAGCCTTTGCGATCCTCTCAGGAGCACTACTAAGTGACGACTTGAGCCCCTCCCCCCCAAACCGAGAATAGAAATCCCCCCCCCACAACTCCACAAAGCAAACTATGTCTTTCTCGCTTTTCTCACTATTTGCCCCTCAGGGCGAGGTCCCAAATTAAGTCCTCCTCGGAACCAGAGGCAGCTTCCTTAACACTTGCTGAGCTACAGGCTGTGCCTACTCCCCTGCCCCTCCCCTACTCCCATCCCAGGGGACTAAGGGAGTAGGCTGATAACCCCAGTCCTGCCCCCACCCAGTTAGGGATTGTTGGTGAAGAAACAGCAGCAGTCAGCAGAGCCTTGTGCCCCTGTGCCTTTAACTGAACCAGGAGAGAAGGAGAGGGGAAGGGAAGGGAAAATTCGGAGACACACAGGCTCCCTGTCAGCAGCTGCTCTCACTTGGGAGGGGGCGGGGGAGGAGAAGGGATCTGAAATGAGGTATGGGCTAGAGGGCTTTGGTATCTGAATGCTCAATCTTGGCTGCAGGAAGGCCAGGCTATGCGCAGGCAGTGGTGGCAGGGGCTAGGTAGGTAGGATGGATTTTTTTCTCCCTCCTCTGTCGGACAGTGAAGTTTCAATGCCCCTCTCTGTAGCGTATTGGAGGAGAATGAATAGAGACGCAGTGGTCCTTTTGGGAGACAGAGGAGGCATGGCAGTGCACTCCAGACTGTGTGCCCGCTCTACCACAGAATGTCCACTGGAGGAACTTGCCCCCACACTACCCTGATGTCGATGGTGAACCTTCAAACCTACTGGAAGCTTCATCTAATGGGGAACAGTTTTGAACCTTAGTGTAAGAGGTGAGGCCCAGGGCATTCCACCTCCTTAAGTTACTCTGACTCTCCTCCTCACCCACCCCCACCCCCATCCTTAATGGCCTAAAACCTTGAAGCCAGAGGAAATAATTAAAGTCTCCAAGAGCACCTGTTATCTTCATCCCACCCAGCAGTTGAAAGCAGATGCCCCCACAAGCCTGTGGCACTATATTCAAACACGAACACTCGAACTCCATTGCTGTCCTTGTTCACTGGAGGAAATGAGAGCCATCTTTCCTTTCCCGCTCTATCCTTTGTCCCTAAAAGAGGCTTGTGGAAATCGGCTTCCAGGACAGCGAGGGTTTCTGTAGAGCAGACACTTGGGTGAACAGAGAATCTAAATTCATCAGCCCCTCCTTTCAAGGCCTTCCTTCTCTTCCTGAATCCCTCAGCCCCAGAAGTTCTTACAGACTCTTCATCCATCCCAGAGCTCCCTTTAGACCTTCAAAGATCAATCACTTCCCCAGTCAATAAGCAGCTATTTTGTGCTTAGCCCTGTGGGAGGGATCTCAGGAGGAAAAGACAAAAATGAAGCAGTTTCTGCCTTCAAGGAGCTTACATTCTGTTGGGGAGATGACATCTATCCACAAAAACATATACTAAATAAATACGGGGTAATTTTTTTGTGAGATTCACTAGTTGTGGGGGCAGGGAGGGGAGGATCAGGAAAGACCTCATGTAGGAGGTAGAATTTGAGCTGAGTTTTAAAGGAAACTAGGGATTCTGAAAGGAAGAGAAGAGGAAGAAAAGCATTCCATGCATGGGGGACGGCATGTACAAAAGCACCAGTGACTACGGATGAAATTGGCTGGACCATAGGGTGCATGACAGGGAGTGATTCTTGGCTCCAATTCCCCCTTCCAGTCCAAAGCCCCCAAGACCAAAGCAGAGAAGGACTTCAGGGGCTGTCAGAAAGGGAAATTGGTACCAACTAGATTTCCCTGAAGGTTAACTCTCCCTCCTCCCGAGATTTCCCTGGGGGTTAACCCCCCCTCCCTTAGGTTGGATTCACTGTGGGCTCCAGGGTGGGATAAAGAGTACTCCCAGCATTCCTCTCCCTGCCAACGAGAAGGACTAGGAGAGCAGAGAAGGGAAGATGCAGAAAGGAAAAAAAACATGGAGTGCTGGGGGAACACAGTGAACACCCCTCCCCCGCCCCTCCCAACTGAACTGGCAGCCAGAAGAGACAGGCTGCTCTGCATGCAGCCTATGGTAGATGCAGGTCCGGCAGGCACCTCCCCCCAGCTGCTCCCTAGCAGTGAGTCGCTTGTGGGTGCCCACGGATCTCTGTCGGGTGTTTAGACCGTGCAAAACACACACACACACACACACACACACACACACACACACACACACACACACACGTCCACCATAAGAGAGACCTTCCCCCTCCTTCCCCCCCATCCACGCTCTACTCCCCCCCCCCACCTGGAAGTCCACCCAGTGAGGCTGCTGCTCCTTCCCCAATTTCCCTCCTGAGACTCTGGACAAGAAGGGACGGTCCAAGAGCCCCCAAGGTCACCTAGCCTAAGTGGCAAACCCTGGAACCCCAGCAAGTCCTAGGGGTTACTGAGTAGAACAACCGTACTTGTGGGGAGAAAGAGTGGGAGTGGAAGGCTGCTACGTGTCTCCCTCTTTAAGGATTGCTAAACCAGGGACTGTAATACCTTAGTCCTCTCCCCTAACTCCCTTCAAAGAAAAGCCCTAAGGGTGGGTAGAGTAGGAAAGCTGGATTTTTTTATAACCCTTATGGCTCTGACCCCTCCCTCTTAAAGGGGTTGGATCCCCCCCCCTTAAAGGGATCTCCGGAAATTATTTGCCCCCATGTAGGTAAACCATTTAAATGCTGAAAGCTGAGATGCAGCTGCTCAGCCTGGTGGCCACCTGCCCCAGGAAGGGGGACAGAGGTGTTCAGGGTACTTATGGACCCTGGAACTGTAGAAGGCAGTACCCCTCTAAAGATAACTTTGAGTCCAATGCCCTCATAATAGAAAACAGTGACTCCCCTAGTGCAAAGATTTCTTCCTCTTTAGGCATTTATGGGGGGTAGGGGGTGGCAGTGAGAAAGGTGTGGGGTTGGGATAGGACCAAGCCTGACTGGGTCACTCCTGAGGATAGAAGGAGCTGCGATGGGCCAAGGCAGGGCTACACCCAGCTCCCTTTTGGGGGGAACACATGCCCATTTGCCACTGTGTCCAAAACCCCCATCTGTCCAGCACCAGCCTCCAGATTGCTGGCCGGGAGAAGAATCTTTGCAGACTGTGTCTCCCTGCAGAAGCTGCTCCCTCTTCCCCTCCCCCCACTGCCTGGTGCCCTAGGCCCTCATCTTTTGGGGAATCTCTTTTCCACCCTTCACCCCTGCCTCTACCGGGTGGGTTTATGGCTTCAGACTACTCTCTCCTCCCTTTCCATCCTCGGGTATCCCTTGAGCTTCCCATCCCCCCCAGATCTACATCCCTCCCTCCCCCCCAGGACTGCCAGAGACATTGGCAAGAAATTGCTGGGAGGGGGTTGGGGGATGGGCACACTGCAGCTCCCAGAAGCCAGGAGCAGCATCCCCTCTCTCCTGCCTGTTCACTACTTCATTTTTTTACCTTGTGTGTATGGCTGGGGTTGGGGATTGGCGCAGGATAATACAGGGAAGGGGGATAGGCAAAGGTCTGAAGGCCACACCATCCCTGAGACAGGGAGAGAGCGACGTAGATGGACTCACTTTCGACTACCTTGTTCTCCCCAAGGACTGGGGGATTCCTTTGAGGGTGTACTTTCCGTAGCCTTTAGAAGCTGCCCAAGGCTCTTCTGGCCCTTCCTAACCTGTGCCATCCCTCAGGGAGAGAGGACTCCAGGGGAACGAATGCAACCTTTTCCCCTTACCCCGTCTCACTGGGAAATGTGGGCTCCTGAGTTCTCTGGCTGCAGGCTGGCTCCAAGGCTCCAGCTCAGCCCCTCCCCCTCTTTGGGCTTCATTTTCTCCAGAGATTCACAGACAATGTTTGTCCTGTGGAGGGGGTTGGTATTAAGAGTCCACTTCTGAGCACCTGATAGAACCAAGGGATGAGTGGCTGAAGAGTCAAATGGGCTGGTACCTGACCCTTTACACCTTCCCCAACCCCCACTGTCCCGAAGAAAGAAGCCCAGTGTCCTTCAGTGGCTAAAACGTCTGATAGATACCCCTCTTCTCTCTCCCTCATTCTCTAGTCTACAACAGAACCCTTAACCAGTGGTCTCTAGATAGATTTCAGAGGGTCCTTGAACTTGGAGGGAGGGAAATAACATCTTTATTTTCCTTAACCTCTGACTGAAATTAGCATTTCCTTTGATTTTGAATGTAGGCAGCAAACATTATTCTGAGAAGGCACGTTCATAGGCTTCCCTAGACTGTCAGAGCAGTCCAACACACAAAAAAGCTTACACACCCCTGCTCTACTGGATTCATTGAACTCAAAAATGCCTGGAAACATTCTCACCTTCTTTTTTCTCTCTTCTCCCTGTTGGAGAGGTTGGACAAGAATGATCACTCTTTTGTGGAAACAGCATGAACCCTTTCACAGTTCTTTCCCAGATTCCCACCCCTCCAACATCTAGTTCTTTC